ATAATAGAGTCGCTTTTTAAAGAACATGTTCCTACCTTAAACTCCTGATCGTTGTCAATTGTTGTGAGCCAGAAGGAGAACTTGTTGGCGAAGTAGTGGCATGTGCCTCGTGCTCCGTTACATTCAATGAATGGTGTCGCTCGGAAGTCTTCCAGGCAGGAACCGGGTGAGCTAGAATTGAGTCGTAAGATTTTCCTACACATACAAGCAGGAAATCTATGAATCGATACCTAAGTGACTGTCCGCCTCCTTCGGCTCCTGCTCCCGTATGCATTGCGAATGAATAACCGATCCATAAGCTATTCCAGCCTGCAGGACAGTTTGGAATTTGTATCGTTTGTGAGTGAACGGCGATTACGTTTGCTGGTGCTTCGCATACGGCGCATCTGGAGAAAATAAGGTTTCATATAGTATCGCTTCTTTAAAAAGCAAAACTGGTCACCTTGAAATGTAACGTTCAATCTCTCCTTCACTGACGGGCATCATGGGAATTGGTGCGGTTGTAGAGAGCCAGTATGACTTGTCGTTACGCGATGCGTAGTTACAGACGTTGTTGAAGTCACAGAAAAGGAATGGCATTGTTGAAAATCGTTGCAAGCAGGAGCCGGCATGCCCTAGATACGTATATGATAAGTTTGAATAATTCTGTTTCGTCGTACCTCAACGAGAAATTTACAAGTTTCTACAAAGAATTTAAAATCACCAAGATCTTGATTGTGCGACTTTTCGTTTCCTTCGATGTACAATAGCGAGTAACCATCCCAAAGCTTAGTCTGACCATCGGGGCAACGAGGAATTTCAGTTGTCTGAGAATGCTTCACCAATAGGAATCCGTCTCTGTAAGCAGGCCCAGGGGGACCTGGTGGACCTGGATAGCCAGGTTGTCCAGGAGTACCAGGGGCTCCATCAAGGCCAGGAAGACCAGGAAGACCGGCATTGCCCTTCTCCCCAGGTAGACCAGGTTGACCAGGGAAACCATCGCTTCCACGTGAGCCCGGAGTTCCAGGTGGTCCATCTAAACCTGGTGGTCCATCGAGTCCAGGCAGTCCCTTCTCTCCTCGAATTCCTGGTACACCAGGAAGCCCAGGCTCTCCCTGCAAGCCAGGAATGACTTTACTAATTGGGCCAGGTAATCCAGGAGGTCCTTGTGGTCCGTCTAATCCAGGCTTTCCTTCACGACCAGGCTGTCCAGGGAATCCGGCATCTCCTTTCATTCCAGGCAAGCCAGGTGAACCAGGAAGACCGGGAAGTCCAGATTCTCCTTTCTGTCCAGGGAATCCAGGAAGACCAGCGTCTCCTAAACTTTTAGGTTAATTGAGTGCGTGGGTGACTGCAAGTATTTACCTTTCATTCCAGGAAGGCCAGGCATTCCAGGAGCTCCCTGAGGTCCTGCAGGACCCATTTCTCCCTTCAATCCAGGTAGACCAGGAAGGCCGTCTTTTCCAGGTGCTCCAGGATATCCGTCGTTTCCTCGTTTTCCTGGTATTCCAGGCTTTCCAGGCTCTCCCTTTTGTCCTGGGAATCCA